GTGAGTTTATGGAGAAATGATGAAAGTGTTGGATCATGTGATAGATGGAGCACAATCATAGACAAGGCCCTCATGCAGAATATGGCACAAGAATAGGCCTTGAGATTTACATGAAAGTAATAGGCAAAGAGTATGTATCCAGTCAAGTGATGGAAAGGTGAGTGGTGGATATTTAAACAAGAATAAACCTTTGGGCTGGGAAAAAACATGGGGACTGAGATATTGGTTAAAGGAAAACAGAATAAAGGGAACAAACTTGTTGACATAGATTCCATTCAAAACCTAAACAAGCTTGAAGTACATAAAACTTTGTATAACAGAAAGTACTTATACCATTATTTAGAAACAAAATATTTGTTTCAAAAGTAACAGCCTACATTTAGGATTATTTTCTAGCTATTTCTCAATTAGTAATTCATGTTAGTTTAAAAAATACATAATTGTTATAATTTTTAAATGAAACTTGTCCATTACCCTTTCCCAGAAAATAGTTGTAAATTTGGTGTGATTTCTTTAATATAAATACATCCAAATGTACACAGACATTTGTAGAATTTTTTTGCAAACAGTATTTTATACTGTACATATTATTCTATAACCTAGCATCTTGAAAAATCAGTAAAAATGGTCCTTTCCATATCTCATACTTTTTAATGCTTTGTATCATAACGGTATCAAAACTTATTTTTTTCTGTTTCCTCCATATCTTCCCTGATTCTTATTTTTTAATTGTGAAAATACCATACAAAGGGGTAGATATACTATTGATAAATGTTTCTCAGGTTGTTTCTAATTCCTATTTTTCTAATACTGTCTCATAAAATATGACTTAGTTTTATCATATGTCAGAGTTCTCTTTTGCCTTGTGTTAAGCACTGATTTATGCTTTTTGGTAAATAAGCAAGATTTGGAATAGTGGTTTATTCCAAGCTAGTGATACCATTCACAATGGAAACATGTGTATGTGGAGAACCAGCTTTTCTTTGGAGCTAAGTGTTGTTCATTCAGAAACTATAAAAGGATAGCTTCTGAGTTTAATATGATAGACCAAAGTTCTAGCTACTTCTGGCACAGACTTATACTTTGAAATGACAAAGATGCACTCTACTCACTATGTAGTTAAAAAATGTGATGAGGCTGAAAACATTGATGTCTGTGAAATACTCTTAGTTCCTCTAAGGAATAATAAGATATAATACTTTAAAAAATACACAGGGACTACCTTCAGGCTTCCTCTGATAAAAGACCATACCAAATATAAGCTATACAGATAGTTTCTTAGGGTATTTCATCTCCTGAAATAGCTGATGATTGGTTGTAGAAATGCATTGAAAGAGACTGCTTAGTGACTGATGTGGTGTACTGGGGCTCATTAGACTCTAAGTCTGATCCTGCCTGTAACACACCCTGGCATTATAGCCTAGTTATGCTGCTTTAACTCCTCTACAAGTGTTCTCACATTCTTCTTCTTTTAATTAAGAATAGTACTTATTTAGAAATATTGGCTTTATTTCATGGACATATTAGGTAAGCTAAGATAAGCTGAGATGAAATATAAGAACACTACTTTGAAAAATTTGCTGCAATATATAAACAGAATTTTTTCCCTGTGATAATAATCTGAATATTAATGTATCTGGGGTTCATGTCTGAGATCCAAATTTTCAAGAAGACATCAGACAGTAGAAAGATAGTAAAGCAAACATTGGGAGACTAATGAGACAAACGTTTTTAACTAAATTTTAACTGTAGCAGGGCATCAGAGTTTTATTTCTCATAAGTATCATTAAATACTTTTCCTCATTTTTGTGAATCAAGATGATGTATTATTGATCAACTAAATTTATTAGAGTAAAGGTGATTTAGATGTTTGTTACCCTTTGTGGGACAAGTTATTTGTGTTACTACTTTGGAGTATTCAAATTAGGATCTAGCTACAGTTCTAAAATGTGTTATGATTTTTCTCCTCATATTTAGTTTCTGCCTCCAGTAGTACAGGGCTTTGAACTCAGGACACTGTGCTTCTAAGTACTATATAACTACTCAGATCTCCAATATCTAAATTTATTATATTTAACGTCAGCTTTGGATTTCCAGTGTCTAAATGCATCTTGATCAATGTCATTCCTTTTATCAGTCTCACTCATCCCTCCTGTATCCACCTCTTTCCTCACTCTTCTTAATTTTGTAGGATATACATTGAAATCCTGACTACCTTCTCCCTCTCTTCTCCTCTTCATTAGTCTACTCCTTTTCCCCTTGACCCCAACCACATACTGTTCTAGTTCTGGATTCCTGATGTTTATTTTGTTGAACTTTGACTTTGTCTTTCTAAGGAATTAGTTGTTTGAGTTCTTCCTTGAATCTACCTTATTTCCGTTAATAGGTTTGTTTATGCTTGCATACCACCGAACATTCACTTATAAGTTTATAAGCTAGGGGCTGGGAAGGTGGCTCAGTGGTAGAGTGCTTGCCTTGCATGCATGAGGCCCTGGGTTCCATTCCTCAGCACCACATAAGCAGAAAAGGCCGGAAGTGGGGCTGAGGCTCAAGTGGTAGAGTTCTAGTCTACAGTTGAAGAGCTGAGGGACAGCACCCAGGCCCAGAGCTCAGGCCCTCGACCGACCAAAAAAAAAAAAAGTTTATAAGCTAAATCTACCCCCATATAAAAAGAAAAACATGCATCCTTTGTGTCCCTGTGCCTAACTTACTTCAGTTAATGTATTTTTTTCAAGTCTTTCCACTTCTTTATAAATAGTGGAATTTTATTCTTTCTAATTCATGATTAAAATTTCATTGTGTATATATACTATATTTTCTTGATCCATTCATTCATTGAGGGGCATCTGAGCTGCAATAAATATGGTTGTACTGGTGGCTTTACTGTATCTTGGTTTGTAATCTTTTGGATAAAGGTCCTGAAGTGGAATTGCTGGATCATAGGGTAGTTCTATATTTAGTTTTTTGAGGAACCCCCATACTGCTCTCCAGCAAGTTTTGAACAAGTTTAGATTCCCATCAACACTGTATTAAGATTCACTTTTGGTTGCATCTTGCCCAACATCTGCTATCATTTCTTTTTATTGATTAAATGGCCATTCTGACTGGGGTGAGATGGAATCTCAGTGCTGTTTTGATTTGCATTTCCTTTATGGTCAGAGATGTGTTAAGCATTCCTTCATGTGTCATTTTTATTTTTTAAGTTCTCTGTTTAATATTCTAGATATTAGGACACTGTTTGATGTATGGTGGACAAAATTCTTCTCCCATTCTGTAGGCTGTCTTTTTAGTTTGTTGGCTATGTCCTTTGCTGTGTAGAAACTTTTTAGTTTGATGTAGTCCTATTCAATAAGTCTTTCTTTGATTTGCTGTGCTTCTGGATCTTTACTCCGAAAGGTTTTCCCTGTGCCAAGGAGTCCTACTGTTTCTTCCACTCCTTCCTGTAATAGTTTTGTGATTTCAGATCTTACAATGTTATTTGTGATCACAAGTTTCTAAATAATTTTAAATAAATGAAAGCTTAGTTGTTTAAATGATTACTGTTTACTTTTCTAATTTCTACTAGAAGCATAGGCAGTTCTTCCTTAGTTCTAATCTTGGTTTCTATTTTTTTCCTAATTGTGTGAATGGAGTCTACCGAGGTATTTTATACTATTCTTGTTAGTAAGTTAAATTTTGTTTGCTATATACATAAATATTTGAATATTTTAATATGGAATATCACTGGAATGTTACGTCAGTGGTGTTAGAATAAGTTCTTATATGTATGTTTTTCTGGATAATGGAAAAATATTCATAGCAATTGTCATTTACCAGGCATTTGCTATATGTCAGTCTTCCTACTGGTTGTCACATTTACCAGTTTAACTCCTCATGACAACCATTTGAAATAGATAAATATTACTAGCCCATTTTGCAGATGAGGGAAACAAGGCACTGAAAACTTACTTTTCCCAATTCATATAGCAACGTTTATGTACACATCTCATTCTGCTCGAAAGGAATACATCTTAAATATTCCTTCTGCATGAGAGCCTGTGGAGTCATGCTGTAATCACAGTCCATACATTCTTATTAAACACATGTTAAGTTTTTCAATGGAGAAAATGTAATATAGGGGTATAAATGAACAAATGTTTAAAAACCAAAAAGGTAACATAGAAATTATAAAGCTGTTTAAAACCAATATTTGCCATAAACAGTCACCAGGGCTGGCCACCAAAGTAGAGAGGTATGGTTATTTAAAAAAATTAAAGTGAAAGGTCATGTAGCTGAGCCTTAGATGTCTAGGGAGAGAAAGAGCTGTCTGGTTGTTGGTACCTCAAGAGGTCAGAGTAGCTTGTGGAACTGAGCGTGAGACCTCTAAGGAGAGGTTTTGTTGGTGCTTCTGAAAGAGGACGCAGGGACTGGTTCTGGTTCTGGTTGTGTTGGAAACAGCTAAAGTGAAAATAGCTTAAATCATCACTGAAATTAACTGCTGCTGTAGTTGCATCCACAGTAGGGATGCCTACTCCTTGTCCCCTGTTCTTATTTCCAGTCTCTTTCAAGAGGTTGTTAGTTTATGGGACCTAATGGGAATTAATTTAATGAAGGACTGAGGGTAGGGTACAAATAGATTCTCAGTGTCAGCATCTCAAAGAGCATAGAGTCAGAGCTAGTACGGGATCTTAATAACTGGCACTGTAAGAAGCAATTCACAGAAAAATAATGGTTCCATCTTCTCTTATATACTAATGCTGCCTACAAATTGCTATGTGAAATGAGTACTTGGAGGATTGGAGTAAAGGATAATATGAAAATTATGAACTTAAAATAATTATGGTATTTTAAATAAAGCATTGCTTTCTAATGTGTGTATGTGTGTGTGTGTGTGTGTGTGTGTGAGAGAGAGAGAGAGAGAGAGAGAGAGAGAGAGAGAGAGAGAGAGAGAGAGAGAGAGAGAGAGAAGGGGGAGAGAGTATCATTGGGAAAGTATTTAATACCTTTTTTATTCATTTTAGATAAGATGGGAAAAAAACATCACATTGGGGGAACCACCGGGATTCTTACATTCTTGGTGGTGGTAAGTATCTTTTATTCCATGTTTTATTTACATTGACAGTGCATTATGGTAGGCTTGTAATATACTTGTTTCTCTTTTCATTTTTCAAAATTGTTACCTGCAAGATAGCTTTGAGAAACAAAAACTCAGGTTATATAAACTTAAAGATATTTCCATTGAGTCAAGATGAAATTAAAGATAGTGTATGGAATCTCCAACTAAGGTATGGTTTTTGCATAAGTTTGTTTAGGCTGGTTTAAGAAAATACCATAGAATGGTTAGTTTAAGCTTAATGGAAACTTATCTTCTCACAGTCCTATAGGTGACAAGTTCAAGACCAAATGCCAGAATGGCTGATTTTTTTAAAATTTAATTTTATTGTCAAGGTGTGATGTATAGAGGTAATGAGTACATTTCTTGTTCCCCTGCCCTTCCCCCCCCCCCCCCAACCCGGTTGTAAAGTTCATTTCCAACATATTCTCTTGCGAGTATTACTGTTGCTTTTGGTTCACCTTTTGTTATTTGTTTCACCAGAATGGCTGATTTCTGATGAGGGCTCTCTTGTTGGCTTTGAGACAGCTAACTTTTTGCTGTATTCTTACATAAATTATACTCAGAAGTGACTGAATATAATATGTAGGAAAGAAAGCAAGGTCTCTATTATTATTATTATTACTATTAATTTTATTTCCTTCTCCTCATAATGCTAGGCTACTACATAGATCTATTCATAAGCTTTGGTATGCAAGCTCCCCAGTTCTTTGATGAGACTGAGAGTGGGAAATAATGATATGATTTGACATCTGCTATAATAGGCCAGTTTTACCCCAAATAACAGTCACTTATCAAACAAACAAAAAGATCTGAGAACAAGAGAAGAGTAAGTTACAAATAAAATACAAAAATGAGTTTATCTCTACTTTTTCAAAATGGAAAAGCATATTTTTGATAAAGAGTTCTCTGATACAGTGGTTGGAAGATAATTGAGTAATTGAAATACATTTTTAGCAGGTTTTTAAAAATTTTTTAAATTTTATTATTTTTTCGGTCATGGGGCCTGAACTCTGGGCCCAGGCACTGTCCTTCAGCTCTTCAGTTCAAGGCGAGTGCTCTACCACTTGAGCCACAGCGCCACTTCCTGCTTTTTCTCTGCTTATGTGGTGCTGAGGAAACCCAGGGTCTCCTGCATGCAAGGCAAGCACTCTACCACTGAGCTACCTTGAAAAAGTACCTTTCATACCTTTGTATCTCTTTGTGTTTTTATCATGTTGTGGGTGGTACATTTTCTCATGAGTCTTTGCATAAATTTCTTTTTGTAAATCTGTAAAATCTATTTATTACATTCTATCAACAAATATTTATTGAATGCCTTTCATGTGCCAGATACTATGGAGTCCATGAACAAAATAATTGTAAATTCCTACATTTGTAATTTTATTTTATTTTAATTTTTATTTTATTGCTAGTGACAGTCTACTGGGAAAAGCAAAAAGCTCAAGATGGAGTGAGAAATAAGTACTGCATGGAGGACATGCAGAGTACTATGTAGACACATACCAAATACATTTCACCCTAGAGCAGCTGTTATCTAACTAAATTAAGTATGTATGAGCTAACCAGAGAAACATGGGGAGATAGAGAAGGGAGTGTTCTGAAGAGAGTGTATTACTTGTAAGGACCAGAGATGAGGGGCAAAGAGAGTATAATATGTAGGAGGAGTAGAAAGAGTAAGTCTGGATTAGCAGACTGAGTTTGCATTGAGTTATAAAGATGATACCACACAAGTAGGTTTTAAAGTAGGTGACTAATCCCATCCTAACAATATTAGTCTAGTTCTATTGAGTAGATGGTGAAAAAACAGGAATAAGTTCAAAAGGAAAGCTATTGCAATGAGTAAAGAGTGATTGCTTTGAACCTAGTGTATCAGGTGGGAGGGAATGAAGAATGTGGGAAGATATGTCTTGAAGTATCATTAGCAGGATTTGGTGAAGAGTGAAGCTTTCTTAAGCATGCTGAAATGGAAATACATGCTACCCAAGTCAGGTTCTTGAACAAGCAGCTGGTTATATGGTTTTGATGTTCAATAGAGAGGAGGATGAGTGAATGTTATTGTCTGTTTGTGAAGAGACAAATGAGTATTATGCAAAACCCTTGTATCATTAACATTTAAAGATGTGAGGACTCTACAAAGAAGATAAGAAAGCATAGCTAAAGATGGGCAAGTAGAGCCTCAGAGAAAGAAAGGGGAAAGTTTTGAGCAGAAAGAGGATTTGCCAGTGCCAAATATGGTGGAAAGGTAAAGTAACAGGATGAACATACCCTTTCAGAATGTAGTGAAAAGACTTATATGCAAGGTGAGAAATGAGCCAGGAAGTGACACTTGTAGATCTAGAAGTGACTGAGAATTTGGGAAGTAGGAAATGGTGAATATGGTAAGTTCGCTCAAAAGTTTAACTGTGATGAGGAGTAAAAGTATAAAACCAGAGACATATCGTAGATTTGAAAGAGAAGTTTTTCATTTTAGGTGGGAGATAAATTGCTGTGTTTAATTTTTGCAAGGAGGAGGCAGTAGAGAGAGGCTTAAGATACGGGAGAGAAGGGATAACTAGTGATGTATGCCACCAGGGAGATGAGGGAGAAAGATCATCTAATGCGCAAGTTAGGAATTGTAAGGAAGAAGAGAGTAAGAGAAGATAGAGGGGTACTTGTAGGTTTGATGGCAAGAAATTCTGTTCTTATTCAGAGATTTTTTTCAAAGTAGGATAGAACTACCTTTGATAAGAGAACTAATGGATGTGGTGTTAACTAACTTTGAGGAGTAAAAAATTGTTTAAAAAATATCTGAAATATTTACACATAGACCCCCAAGAGAGAACTAAGTACGAACACACCAAAAGTTGCTAATGTTTAATGCCTATCAATACATTGTGTATATCAATTCATTGTGGCACCAGTCCAGTATGCCTACATGTGTGTTTTCGGTAGCAGTAATTGGTAGAAGAGGTATTTGCAAATCTTGTTTTGTTTTGTGTTTCTTTAGTAGAATTTCCTACTTAGTGCCTTATGTACTCAGTTCTCAGCATCTTTCTTAAAAGGAGAAAATAAATCTGTCCCAAAGTGCCTTATGTATGGTTTCCCTGTACATAATTCAATACCACCTTTTTAATCTCTCCTGAAAGCATGCCTTTCTAGAAGTCCTATGATGAATGAAACCACACTTGGTCAGTTGTGGTTGTGGGTTTCCTCTGTTTGTCTCGCATACATATATGGCAGGAACAGGTGCAGTCTTTGGGTATTGTTCCTGTATTTGGAGCAACGGTTTGTTATAATTATGAACCATCATTCTGCTGTTTGCCTGAGGTTGAAGACTGATCTCTTGTATAATGTTACAAGTAAAAATACCATTATATATCATACACATTTATAATATCTAGATTTAGAATGTAAATCCTTAACTACTTTCTGAATGTCATTGAGGCTCTTCTTATGTTAAAATCTTTACAATGATGTCCACCACGTGACATAAGAAATCGTTTAAAACATCTGTTCACGTGAGATCAATGGGTTAACAGTAAAGATTTAAAGATTTTTTTCATTATAGCACTAATTTTAGATTGTGTACCTGTTTCTCTTTAACTACATTTCTCATGAACTTAAGCTATTTCTGTATTATCATGGTTGAGAACAAGCTACTGCCTGCTTTGGTCTTTGGCTTCGTCTAGAGTTTCAACTTTTTGCTTTATTTTGTTTTCAGCTGGTTTGTTATAGATTTTAAGTCTGCCACTGTTTTTTTTTTTATTTTTCTACTCACACTTTGATTCAAAAGATCCCTTTTTCATGATATTGATCTTGTAAAGTTTGGCACTAGCCAGTAAATTTTAAATAATTGGCGCATTAATAATTTCCTGCCATATCTAGTTTAAATTCAGCATACACAGAATATAAAGGAGTATCATTTTTAATGTTTTTAGTTATTTCGCCTAAAACTATTAATGTACTCTTTGAGGTGCCCACTTCCTCTGTATAAATCAATTGCTCTTAACAGTTTTGAAGTCATGAAGTCTCTGAGAATAAAGAGTTACATATTCCTCTTCCAGAGGAATACCCTGAGTCTAAGCTTTTCTGCTCATTGTATACAGTGAGGCCACTACCATGGGCTTTAAATCCAACAAATATGTGACCTTTTTAATCCTTAACTTTTTTGATCTGGGCTTTATAATCTGTGTTTTATGTTAAGAATTCAGGACTATAATTAAAATTGCCTTCTTACAATGACCACGAGAGCTGTGACTGCTACCGAGGTCAAATGATTGGCATAGCAAATATTGTCAACAATATTTTCTTGCTCATATGTTAAAAGTAGGTTTGTTGATGGTCCATTATGACTTTATGACCTCTGACTTCTATTTTTATAGAATATTTGAAAATGGATTTCTCCTGTCGTATAAACCTCTTTCACAAATATTTACAAAGTGTAAAAAGCTATATTATCATAAAGGAAATCAATAATAGGAGAGATAAACCAGTAAACAGAAGTAGGGATTAGAAGAATTGAGAAGTTCAGTCATCATCAGCCTCTCAAGTTGTGTAGAATCTCAGTCTGTAAATGTCTACATGTTTTCACTCTTGGTGCTCTTGTGAATGAAGAAACAAGTTGAGTGAGTTGGCAATCAGAATAACTTATTAAAGTAGATTAATAAATCTCTTCAACAAAGGATAAACCAAGTATTGCTATGAGATCTACCTACTACAAAGCCCAATTCTTCCTTTAAGAAATGAATTCATATTTTAATCACCATATTGACATAATTTGTGCCATCGGCACTTATCCATAGTAATTGTGAAAATTTAATAACTTAAGCAATATAACTTATGTATTTAGGCATTTTAAACAAATGAAAGAATGCATTAAAGGAAATTATTGTAATACTCAGTCTCATGTTTTTCATTTCTGAGGGTAATCTTATTTTATTGAATTAATTGTGAATTTAATTTATGTTGTAAGACCTATAGAATTTTTTTTCTAGCTGAGGAAAAGTCCAGACTAAGTGAATTATCTAGGTTAAAAGCATATATATACATATATATACATATGTATATGCTTATACACACATGTTTACTATATATCCATGCTTATAATGTGGTCAACATTGTGCTTGTGTTATATAATCTTGTAAAATAATCTCATTACATGAGGAGGAAATGGTGTTTCTGATACATTTAAACAATTTGGTCAAGGTATTCAGCAGAGCTGGCTTATTTCTCAGACATTTCCAACTCTAACGCCTATATCCTTGGCCACTTTGTTTAGTCTACCTTTTACTTCTATGTTGCGAATATGGTATAAAAGTAATTTATCATTATTTATTTAATTCCATATATATTTTTTATTGTAAAAATACTGTACAGAGGGGTTACAGTTATATTAGTAGGGTAATGAGTACATTTCCTATGGAGCATTGTTACCTCCTCCTTTGTTTTTCCCTTACCATCCCTTCCTTCCATATCTCCCCAACTCTTCCTTCTCCACCCCCCAAAATTGTAAAGTTCATTTTCAACATAGTGTCTTATACATCTCATTGTTACAATGGATCATTGCCTTTATAATCAGTTCTTTCAGACATTTGCTTTTCTGTTTTTTCAAACTAACAATTCATTCTTATCATTATTTCAATAAAGGGAAGAATAGTCAGAACCTTACGATTTTTAAGAATCATGTTTTAAAACCAGATATTAAAAACTGAGTTAAATGGATATTTTCCAACTCACTAACTTATTTTGCTTATTAATTGCAAGAAAAAAACAATGGAGAGTTTAAGAATCTTCTTGTTTGTTTGACTAATATAATTCTTTCGTGCCAATATTGGGACTTGAACTCAAGACCTTACCCTTTTACTCAGCTCTTCCCATTATGACTGGTGGTCTACTGCTTGAGCCATATATCCAGTCCAGTTATTTTTTTTTTTGTTGTTGTTGGTCATTTTGGAATTATAATCTCCAAGATTTTCTGCCTGGACAGGCTTTAAACCTCAATCCTTAGATCTTAGTCTCCTGAATAGTTAGGATTATGGGCACGAGCCAATGTCACCTGGCTTCCCAATGTAATTTAATGGTTGTAAGTGGAATAACAAAACTTTCTTCAAGGTAGCCAAGGATGGCTCACACCGGTAGTAGCTAGCACTACTAGCACTAGCTACTTAGGAGGCTGAGACATTCAGAATCAAAGCTCTGGAGCCAGCTTGGACAGAAAAGTTGGTCAGATCCTTATCTCCAATTAACCCAGAAATACAGATGGTAGGTGTGGATTGCTGGTGTGTACCAGTGGTGAGCAAAAAAGTTGAGCAAAATCATGAAGCCTTTAGTTAAGCCATGGTACTAGCACAAATACACACATGCACATACACACACACATACACACCCCTATCTTGAATAATTAATGAGTCATATTATACCTTAATATTTGAAGTAGGATATTATTTACATAGATAACTGGGAAAGTACTATAATTATATACAAAATTACTATTATAGATTACCTTATCATTTTAGGAAAATACTGTTTCTGAAAGATGTCTCATTGCTACCATATTATTGCATAAAGAGCCCCACCTGAATTTAAATTTCTCAAAAAAAGTACCTGTCTTGAAGAAAAGTTTATGTAAAGAGTAATATATGTTTCATACTTTAAGGTTGTGATTTATCATATTGGTGTTATGTGATTTTCTTAATGTTACCATAATTACTTTTCAGTGTATTTTGGGATCTCTACTGTGCAGCTCCAGAGAGACGGGAAACATGTGAACACTCAAGCGAAGCAAAAGCCTTCCATGATTATGTAAGTGAACATACACTTTTCTAAAGTTCTGTTGTTAAGTTTTTGTAAGCCACTGTTCTTAAAAATTTTTTGGGTCATTTTTTGTTTGCTTTTGTACTCAAGGAATTGGTTTTTGTTTTCTTGAAAAATAATCTTATTAGATAAAAGTGCAAGACAATGGGGTGTTGAGGCTTAGTGAAGCGTTAAAAATCCTAGGCAAACTTCAAGCTCCTAAAGGCATTTCTTATCATTATGTCTGATTTAGGAAATTTCAGATTTATAAAAATTATATAGCAACTTTTAATTCTCCAAGGAGATTCATTGTAAGATTTCTGTGTATTATAAGCTCCTCTTTTGCATATGAGATTTAAAAAGTTGGAAATATTCTGTTCTTCTTACAACTTTTGATTATCTGTTATAAGACTGAATACCCACACCACTGAATTGAGTTATCAAAAATTATGGATTAAAATGACATTTTAGATAAGAGGGCAGAAGATTTAGTCAAAAACAAATGTGATGTGGAAAAAAACATTATTTAAGGAAAGACAGTAAATTGTCCTTGGCTTGAGCATATTTTGGCAAAATTGAAAATCTGGTTTTAGAAAGTGATTATATGAGTTAGTAGAATTGGACTTTAAAGAAAAACAAGAAAAAGTTTTCTAAAAATGAGGAGCTAGTATTATGAAAAGGTGGGAATTGCTATGGTTTTAGAGCATAAGAGAAGCACAGATTGAATTTGGGATGGTGAAAATCCACTTTTTTTTTTTTTTTTCCTAAAAGTAGAATTGAGGCCAGCACCTATGAAAGTATCTGTTAGCAAGTACCTAAAACCAATTCAGAGGGATACTTATCTGGTTAGTATGGGAAGGAATAATTCTGTCTAAAAATCCATAACAATCAGATTCAAGCTTCAAAAGAGAAAAAAAAAATCTTGTTCTTATAAAGAAATTAATTCAGTGTGAGTTTTTTTTAACTTGCATTATATATATATATATATATATATATATATTATTGTGAAAATACTGTAGAGAGGGGTTGCAAGTACATTTCTTATCAAACATTGTAGCCTCCTCCTTTGTTTCCCATTCCCATCCCTTCACATCCTCCCCCCACCCCTCATATAATTCTCCCCGCCCCCCCCCCCACCAAAGTTGTAAAGTTCGTTTTTGACATAACGACTTGTACATCTCATTGTTGCAATGGGTCTACCTGTATCCCTATTTAAATGATTTGTATGAGATTTAAGAGTAGGATTGGATGAAATTGTAACTCCCAAAGTAGCATGAGGAAGAAGATGGTGCTTAGAATTGAGTTGGGAGAGAACTCTATCAGAGATGCTCTTGGCTTCCTATTGTAACCAAAGTAGATTAGTTTCTATTTTCCCTGAATTTCTCTTTCTAATGAACTACTACCATAATGTAACCAGTATTATGGCTTAGATGTGGTCTGAGAGTGTGCCATAAAGGTATTCTAGAAAGTAGGTCTGCAGTTTAGCAGCAATGCGGTAATGGTAACTTTGTAAGGTACTTTGGATATGAGGACACTGCCATCAGAGGGGATTAATGTAGTTCTCACAGGGTCCCTTCTTGTTTTTTATGAGTAGGTTGTTATGAAGGGAGGGAGCCTGAATGTCTTCTTGTCTTCTGGCTTCCTGTCCTGTCATGATCTCTTCTGCACATTCTCCCACCATGTGACACAGTCTACCATGAGTACTCATCAGAGATGAACCAGTAGAGCTGCCTAATCCTGAACTTTAGCCCCTTAAACCCTAAACTGAATCTCTCTTTTCTTTGTACATTAGTTTCAAGTATTTTATTATAGAAACAGAAAGCTCATGTAATAAACAAGTTACCCATACCATAGATGAATCTTTTTGACCCACTTATTTTGTTCTCCTTTACCTCCATCTGGTTATAAAAACCTGTTTTTCTCACTAATCGTACTTCAGATCCTTAGGCAAGTGTTCATGTATCTAAAACACTAATATAGCTGTTTCTACATCTGACTGCTTCCCCAATCTAGAGTTCTCTCTCAGGGGTTCTCGGTAGAGTGAATCAGTAAACAATGGAAAAAATTTCCCACAACAATCAAATCCACAAATTAAAAAGTTCAGACAATAAATCCGGTATCTAGAGAAGTTGAAGACATATCTTTGATTAAATATTGAGTGTGAATTAACCAGGAAAACTCAGATTTTTCATGGTCTCACATAGTTTTACCTCTTCTGTATAAAGCCTTTGCAGTGCTAAGTCACTGGGCATATTGGAAACAGAAAATTATATTTTCAGATAATAAATCTAAGGACATGATAGAACAGAAACTGAAGAAAGGGCTCAAGGTTTAAACTATTCCAATATTTTTGGCATTGAGGAAAGCCCTAAATTAGTGTGGTAGCAAATGAAATTGTAAATAATGTCAATGGGGCAAAAAGATATTGTGGTAAGGATTTTGGTAGACAATTAAAAAATTATTGATAGTTAACATAGCTAATGAACAGAAACTTGGGAGGACTCATCTTAAGCTGTAAGAATAGGCTAAACAAATGAGAGAATAAAGGTAAAATAAGAATTGAAGACTAGGAAGAAAAACTTGGCCCAAAATGGGTTGATAGGGAAAAGGAATAGCATTATGATGGGTGAGAGAATACAATTTAGAGAGAAATACTTAGACTAGCTAGACTAACTTAGATAGCACAGCTGATATGTTCTATAACTGGTATGTTCTATAATAATTGCTCAGATCTTTCTCTTATTTCAGGATGCCTCCAACTTGAACAATACACCTCAGGGCAACTAATGAAATTTGTTTGGTGTTAACACACTGTCTTGATTCACACTTTCCTAAGATTCAAAAGCTCTTAGTGCTTGTTGAAGCAAGACTTGAGGTTCAAACTATGTGAATGGCTGAATGAATTTTATAGGCCACAATTTCATTTTAGAAAACAGTCATGTATTGTGTGGGGTGGGGAATAATTTCAAATTTAGTAGGAAAACTACATGATCCCAAATGATCCGTGACTGGCTTCTTTTAGAAGTTTTGAAACTTGAATTAACTGGTAGGGACATTTCTCAACATAATAGCACTTTTTCTTGTTATTTTCTTTTCAGAAGCATGTATTAAGTGTTTCTTGACATGCTGTAATTATTTTGCAGTATTCCTTGCCTTTTATTTGCTGGTACATAAAATAATTTTAGATCAGTGTCATGGCTCAGTATGCAGATTAGCGACAGAGTACTGACCTAGCATGTGCAAGGCCCTGGGTTTGACATGCACCCCAGAAAAAATGATCACTGACATCTTATATTTGGTGAGATATGATTGTCATAGATATGAATTCTTGTATGGACTTTGAATACAGTGGTAAATTATACTTCTGAAATAGTGTTCTTATCTGTTGTAATTCTGGCAATGTCAATAGTAGAATGGTGATATATGAGGTTTCTTTCCTCACATGTGATTTGGTTGGTGGCACTAAGCTATTTCAAAGACTATTCAGACCTTAATTTGTGTATACTTATTAAATTTTCAACCTGATAGTATAATGCTGTAGAAACCATAGAACTATTTTGTAAAACTTAAATAATACAAACACAGTAAGACTCAGATAAGTTTTAATCATCATTTTAAAAAAAGGATCCAGTAAGCCAGGCACTAGTGGCTCATGACTGTAATCCTAGCTACTTAGGAGGCTGAGATCTGAGGATTGCAGTTTGAAGCCAACCCAGGAAGGAAAGTCCATGAAGTCCTTGTCTCCAATAAAAACTACTCAGAAAAAGCCAGAAGTGGCACTGTCACTAAAGTGGTAAAGCACTAGCCTTGAGTAAAAGAAGCTCAGGAACAGTGCCTGGACCCTGAGTTCAAGCCCCAGGACCAGAAAAAAAAAGAAAGAAGGAACAAAAGAAAGAAGAAAAGAAAGAAAGAATAAAAGAAAGAAAGAAAGAAAGAGAAAGAAAAGAAAAGAAGAAAGGATCAAATAACAATCGTCACAATTTTTAGACCTTTAACATTATTAATGAATGATTTCAGTACATGTCTTTATTTTTATTGTTACTTTAGAATAGTTCCCAATAGTTTGAGAGCCAAGATGGCTCTGAAGGGAATTATTAAGGTATGGTGTGCCATGAAAATGTGACTATAATGGGATGTAAATGAAACCAGTGGCCAAATTCTAGAGTTGGGAAAATCCTGTTGGGATTGTTGCTGGGTACCACTGGCAGATGACCCCAGAAGTATTCTCAACTGTAGTCAGCCTTTATTCCGACATAATGGTGAGGCAAGAGGTTTGGCAACATGTGTCTGGATAAGGTGCTACACTGGTTCCCTGGCTCTGTTGTGTTGTTTCCTTTCTCTATCCTACCCATGTCATAACCTTGCCATTCTTCTATGAAGAGCTGAAGTCTAATTTCTCATCCCTGATATCTATGCCATCTTTAATGATTTGTTAGTAATCAATAGAATATGACACCGTGAGATTAGAGTGGTATAATTTACATCAGAAGCCTTGAAACTTTTGCCTTGGTCTCATGGAATACTTGTCTGGCTTTTTTTACAAGCTACCTCTCAAAACCCAGTCCACCAAGCCTGGTTCTAAGGCAGAAGTTTCAGTCTTCAGTGCCTGAGCCGAGTTTTTCAGAAACCCAGAACCAGGCACAAACATTTGAGTGAAGAAGCTCACACAGCCATTAAATGTCTACATAACTTTGGTCTAGACATTGTAGAATTTGTGAAAAGAGCCAGGATTTACTGTCCAAAGTATTGAAGAACAGAAGACATGAGCATAATAAAGGATTGTTATTTTTTCTGCTATTCTGCTTAATGTTGTTTTTTTTGGGTCCGGTCGTGGGGCCTCAACTCTGGGCCTGAGCGCTGTCCCTCAGCTCTTCAGCTCAAGGTTAGCGCTCTACCACTTGAGCCACAGCGCCACTTCCGGCTTTTTTCTTTTTGCTTATGTGGTGCTGAGGAATCGAACCCAGGGCCTCGAGCTTGCAAGGCAAGTGCTCTACCACTGAGCCACCTTC